ACCTCCAAGAACCTTTTGAGAGGCATATACGCTTGTAGTATAAATAAATTGTTGGTAGAAGGAGAATTTACTACGATTCTATTAACAAAGTGGCTCTCACCTGCAATGGGTATGATAAAGGAATTTTAGAACCCGAGAAAATCAACTAATATGGTTACTTATATGATGAAAGCAATGAGAAGTCTAGCTTTATTATTTTGGCATGAAACATACAGAAATTGTTTCGAAATTGTATCATGAGAAACCCTCACTTCAACCCTACAAAACATTGTGTATTTTCAGCCAAATATTGGAATGTGGCTAAGCTATGTGATTTCTTTATGATTGGGGGCACTCGCAATGATTTAGACATACCTTTTTAGTTTACCTTTACATTTACCATCCTCTATTAGGAAAATTTACTGAAAGCAGAATATGGCATTCAGGTTAATGTCGTTTTTGTTTCTTCATTTCCTATATTACTAAGTTTGTCTAGGTTCGTCTATAGGCAATCATTTACTTGATCATACATTGTCAACAGTTCTCAAGTTGCTATTCCAAATATTTCTTCAAATTTGGGGCATTTGATTCCAGAATGTTTCTCACGTGTTAAACCACATAGCTTATGACATGGAATTTGGTCAACAATTTTGGTTCCAAGACTCTGGAGTGATCTTAACTCTTGATCAAAGTTTGGTGGGGATGTCGTCCAAGGTCCAGAACTCATGTTAACAAGAAGTTCAGTACAGATACAACATGATGGCATTGTATCTGCCAACAAGATGTACTGCTTTATAACACAATGTGGATTTGGTCATATTTCACTAATTCTATACACCTAAGAGGCTAAGAGAGTCATTCTCACTAACTTATTTATCTCAACATGCAATCATGCCACCTCACCATACAACTATGAATGGGATAAGCGCCATCTCAGCACGCACCCACTACAACATTCAACCATGCATGAAAAAATATTTTCCATTCAATTATTCTACTTATATTCAATTAATATTATTACAACTATACATAATCAAATATAATAAGTCATATGTATTTTTAATTTTTGTTCTCATATTATCAACCTAAATTTTCATCAACCAATTCCCACGGTAAATGCGTGGGGTATCCTCTAGTTCTTTCCAATATTTGCTCCCCAAGCCCCCATGTAACTATATAATCTTGTATAAATTCTCAATCCATATTGTGATATTTTTTTCTTATTAGCGTTCATTTCTTCATAAGGATAAACAGTTGGTTCCTTATACCATTGAGGTATATATGATGCAAAGTATGTAGTGTGGTACCATGAGCAACTATACTAGACCGTGGTATCGGTTCACAACATTGTTATCGATTGTCCAGCTTATGTGTGTGTTACACATACACATTTATATGACTCCGCATTGATGTCACGAATCAAGAGCTTATTGGCTCTTGCTCATGCCACCTTATATTCACATAAATTCTTGTTGTTACATTAGACAAACGAACGGGCGCGGCAATGCGCGCCATCAATGATTTAGTAAGCCATGTATAGATGATTAGTACAGCTATCCGCATAAAGATTTTGGGCAACAGTTCAACCATGCATGTTATTAGAGCAAATGAACTTGATATGTAAGTCTAGATGCATGTTATACTGATCGGTCATGTGGAGGTGGGAGTGACCATGACCAGTATGAGGAATCACAGCAATTCAGCAGTACGTGTACCTCCAAGGCTCCAACCCTATATTTCCCATCGATTGTGTATGCATATATTGCACATATGATACACCCGGCCAGTTTCTTTAGACTTTAGATGCAATGTGTCCTATACGGATCACATTTTTCCTCCAATAAACCGATATGCTTGTTGGTGAATAGTACACCCTCCGATCTATAGTGAGTGTCGCAGTTTTGAACTATTATGGATCGAAGGGAGTACGTACTAAATTTATTTTGAGCAGGGAGATGAACATACTAAACTAAATACATGCATAAATAATACAGAACTACGTACGGACTGATGAGAATAATGAACCCCAAAATCATACTGAAAACCCCGTAAAATCACGCGGAAGCATTGTGGATCTTATCTACCCATACACGGCGCCTCAACCCTGGGAGCAGCCGCGGCATGAGAACAATCACAGCCATAGCAGAACTCCACAGAGGCTACGGAGGGGAAGGCAAAAAGGATGGCTTCGAGCTACGAACTACTCACATCGCTTGCTTTGCTTCCGGCTGTTGGCCGCTGTCGATCGCGGATGCCGCCCGCCTTCCCGATCTGGAGGTGTGCCGAGTGAGATGGGAGGATGAGCAGGGGCAGACGGGCAGTAGCGAGTGGGAGTGAGTGACAGTTCGTGTGCGTCTCTGGCTTCCGTTGGAAGGAGGAAGAGAAGAGAAGAGTAGAAGGGAAGGAAGACACGCGGAGATGGGCCGCGCTCAAGGCCCGAGGCCGGTGAAACAGGCCCAGCGCATAACCGTCAAAAAATGAACGAATTAAGAGGAGAGGAAAAAAAACTCTGAAAAGGAGAAAAGGTAGGAGAGAGGAGGACAGCACAGCAGCAGCCAGCAGAGCGCCCCTCATCAGCGGCCGCCTCCATCCCTACTCCGGTGCGCCCTCGCCGTCGCCGATCGATCATGGTGAGTGAGCTCGGATCGATCGATCGATCAATCCCGCTTCTCGCCCGTCCCCAGTCCCGCGCCTGGTGGGAGATTGGAGTTTCGATCCCATCTGATTGGAGTGGGTTGTTTCTTGTTTGTGTCTTTGTTGTGCTGTGCAGTCGGGGCGGAAGGAGACGGTGCTGGACCTGGCCAAGTTCGTCGACAAGGGCATCCAGGTCAAGCTCACCGGCGGCAGGCAAGGTCCGTCCGTCCGTCCGTACATCCCTCGCCAGATCCCCCTCCCCCAATTGTTTCATGCTATTCAATGCCCTCATCTGAATGGAGTAGTTTATATACCATTTTACCTACAGGACTGCCTGCTCGATTTGGTTTAGATAGTTTAGAACTCTAGATAGATGTTCATACGCTGGCTCACATGACTGGTTGAACTGTGGTAGGGGTGATGAATGTGAAAATGATTGTGATGGCAGCGGGATAGGTGGGTGTTCAGCATTCAGCGTGACTTGGTTTTAGTTTTATTTGTTCTCATGTCGCGGGATTTGGTACCAGGGCTATGTATACCTTGTCAAGCGAGGGTTAGTTTCTGATATGTTGTGTGTGTGTGTTGGTTGTTGATCCAATATCAATATGCATGCTCCTAGAATTATTCCGGTTTCCTAAAAGGCCAGAAGGCAGAAACTAGTCTTGTTATCCAGCAGTAAGTCGCAACACAACAAACGCTGTGAACTTTGGCATTTGTATACATTGCGGCAGAAAATATTGTTGTTGTTGCCTTGCAGTTTATCACAACGCGGCACGTGCTGACTTTGGCATCTGTATGCATTGCGGCAGAAACTATTGTTGTTGTTGCCTTGCAATTTATCGCAACGCGGCATGTGTTGACTTTGGCATCTGTATACCTTGCGGCAGAAACTGTTGTTGTTGTTGCCTTGCAGTTTATCCCAGCGCGACACGTGCTGACTTTGGCATGCATCTGTACACCTGCAGTTACAGGAACTTTGAAGGGCTATGACCAGCTTCTGAACTTGGTGCTTGATGAAGCGATTGAGTTTGAAAGAGGTACAACTCGATATAGTTTAATTTGATCTCGTCTTGTGCCCTTAAAAGAGGCGAAGTTATGCATTTTATTTGGATTTGGAGCTTGGTCTCGGAAAAATTACCATAGGTCGTGCATCGCCTTAGTTAGCACGACACTAGCATATTGGTTGACCAGACAGAGGACTTGCTGCTATCGCTGCTTGAACAAATGAGGTGGCCAAAATACCATAACTGGTGTCTGCATTTATCAACCAGTAAATACCTAATTGTTGTCTTCTCGTTTTCACTGCGCCAAGACGCTTTTTGTGTTCTTTTGCTCAATGTTCCGTTATCGACTGATAGTGGAACCCGATCCGTTTTGGATCGAATGGAAAAAAGAAATACCTAATTGTAGTGCACTTGTAAAGATATGGACAATGCCTGATGACTATCACACTTCACCCATGTCATCTTGTTTTGCAGAGCAAGATGATCCACTGAAACTGTCGACAAAAACCAGACAGCTTGGTCTCATTGTAAGTTTTTTTTACAGTATCGACTTAAGTGCTATCGCTCCTCTATTGGTTTGGCGATTGTGATGTCAGGAGTAGTGGATTTCGCCCTCCATGGTTCTTTTTCAGGGCACTGAAGTGTTGCCGTGGCCGCTTTTCCTCGAAATCTTTTTTGTCAACCATATTCGTAATTAAACAGCAACCAAAACATCCTCTAACAACTACTAACTGCAGGTCTGCAGGGGCACAGCGGTGATGCTCGTATCGCCAACCGAGGGAACAGAGGAGATCAAAAACCCCTTCCAAGAGGCTGATGGAGAACAAACCGCTCACTCCTAAGAATGACCTGAGAAGCTGGCTGGTTACCCCATGGAGAGACTTACATTAACTTATAGTAAGAGTTATGGCACTCTATGTTGAAGCACTGGTCGTCTGAGGTTAATATTTGTGCCAAGATGATTATGAGTCCCCACTGGACCCACCTGTGTATATGTTACGGACCCACCTTGCTGCTCTTCGTACACAACACGGCTGTATTTACTTATGTATTCGCCTATTGTGCTCTCTGGCAAACATTTATGCATACTAGGTGGATTGGTGCGCTCCGCTGCTCCCGGTGAATCATCATAAGTAGGGAGAAGTAAGGGAGCTCGTGAAAGTGCCTTTCTGCTCCCGAGCTCATTTGAGCTCGGTGAACAGTAAAATCGAAAAAAAATAAAAAAAATTCAAAAAAATCCAAATTTGTTTTGGGAGAAACATTGACAAAAGTTCTAAGTGCTTGCAAAAATTCATCATAAAATCACATTCCTGTAAAGCGTGGCAAAAAAAAAAACAAATTCAGTGCTCCAAAATGCTTCTGAAAGTAGCTTTTTCAGAGTACTGATTTTGTTTTTTTTTGCCACGCCTTCTAGAAATGTGATTTCATGGCGAATTTTTGCAAGCACTTAGAACTTTTGTCAATGTTTTTCCCAAAAAAAATTTGGATTTTTTTAAATTTTTTTGATTTAGTTTTGATTTTACTGTTCACTCGAGCTCATTTGAGCTCGGGTGCAGAAACTCCGCGTCCGGGAGCTCGTTGAATTAGGGAGGCCTTAGGTAATTCCAAGACACCATGTGCCGTGTGACCTTATGATTTGAACTGTGTTTGTAAATTGCTATTTGGCTACCGACCTGATAGTTGTTGGCATATATGTTGGCATCAGACCCGGTGCAGAGTTGTCCTATATTCCGTGCTAGTTGTGGGAATAGTCATGCAAACACCTAAAGTAAGCTTACCATGGGCATAACTTATTTGGCGACCGACCTGATAGTTGTTGGCTTATACTCCCTCCGTTCCGAATTACTTGTCTTAGATTTGTCTAGATACGAAGGTATCTAACACTAAAATGAGTCTAGATACATCTGTATCTAGACAAATCCAAGACAAGTAATTCGGAACAGAGGGAGTATGTATTTTGAATTCTTTTGTTCAAAAAGGTTTATTAAATGTTGGCAAAATTAAATTAAAAAAGGAAAAACTATATTCAGGAAAATGAAAAACTTTTCATGGGCCTAGATTTTTTGATATATGAAATGAAATTTGCATCACACATTTGAGAAATGTTCATGTATAGAAAAGTTACATTTAAGTACTAAACGTTGCTGTCCTTTTTTTAGAAAAAACATACATTTTAGAAAAGTTGATCATACATACCGCGGGAAAAACGTTCAAGTCTAGAAAGAAATAAAAATAAAAAATAAATTAAGAGAGATTTAAAAAATTGACAAAAGAAATTAAGAAGAGAAAAGAAAGACTGAAAAGCAGAATAGACCGGGCCCAGACGTGCTGGTTGAGAGTTTGCCTATTAAGACCACGCGCTTGGCTGTTAACATGCATCAAGTAAGAGATATCTCTGATCTGCTTAAGGAGCGACAAATTGAAGTCTGTAAGATTAGCCGATTGCAGAACAAAGCTGGACATGCCATGGCTGCGATAGGACAACTTGTTGGCTAGCAATTGTACCACGGGAGATTAGCACTATCATTACAGATGATTGTAAAACTGTTACCACTTGATTAATAAATGTTTTCCCCCGCAAAAAAAAAAAAAAAAACCACGCGCTCGGGACGTAAGGGCAGCTCCAACACGACGCCAGGATCAGATCCTTGGCTTATTGGCGATTATGTCTTGAATCCTAGTGCTAGGTGTAGCGTCCGCGCAAGACCTTGCATCAAGCACGTGCTTGTTTTTCAACCCACACGAAGCACCTACGTCGTTTAATTGCCAGGTACCTCCGTCCGTCGTTTAATTGCCAGGTACCTCCGTCCGGGAAAAGTTGTCTCCATGACATTTTTGCAAAAAAGCCCTCCACTTTTGTCCGACCAAACCCGCAGTCCTCGTCTTGCCGCAGCGTCACTCCCCTCCCAGCAGCTTCCCGACGTTGCGCTGCTCCCCTCCCCGCCGCGCCGCGCCGCGCCGCTGAGCTCCCCCGCCCCGCTGAGATCCCCCGCGCCTCCTCTCCCTCCTCCACGCCGCCGCGCCGCTCCAGTTCGCTGCGTAGCTCCTCCTCTCCCCTAAAAATCCCTTCTTCCGGTGAGGTTCTCTTCGACGAGGCGCCGCTCGATCTGGAGGATGACGACAAGTTGGCGCTCGATCTGGAGCATGGAGACGGCATGGGGCGGGCGCTCTCGTCCTCGAGCTCCTAATCCACCAGCTCCTCTTCCTCCTCCAGGCCCTCCTCAACATCACCGGCGACGACGGCATGGGGAAGACGACGGCGGCGGCTGCGGAAGTCGACCCCAACGAAGGCGGATCCTCCTCAACATCCCAGGCTCCTCCTCCTTCAGGTCCTCCTCGTGCTCATCTATCTCATGCCAAGTCTGAATTTGTACTGCCAAGTCTGAAATTTTCATCTTTATTGTTAAGTCTGAAGTTAGCTGACATGCTTCTCTGACTTGACATGCTTGCAATTTTGATCACTAAGAGTACTGCAGCTAGAGTATATCTCAATTTATAACAGCACATGTTGACCTTGCAGCAAGTTTACAAGGACAGCATTTCTGTCAAACTAAAGCAAGCAAACACTTAACTGAATTTGACTGTACCAATTGAACAAAGCTGCAGGGTACATTATGTTAAAGATTTCCTACTTTAGTGATTTTTAGGGAGAGCACTTAAAAATTTTAGTCAGCATTGATTTATGAGGGAGTAGAATTTTTGACAAAAATGCTAGTGCTGTCTGTCTGTGCCTTCCAAGCCTACAAAGAGGTAGTACTGCATTTGTGTGAAATTTGATTTAGTCTTAATTTAGAGCTGCGTGTAGTGCAAACTGGATGATGTAGTGCTCTGAATTTGAAGCTTTAACAGTATGTAGATATAGTCTTGTTCAGATCTTACTGAAGAAGAGAGGGGTTAGTAGGCAGGTTACTTCAGAGGCTTTGTTCAGATCTAACTGAATGAATAATTCAGTTAACTTTACAGGGGATCTAACTGACTGAATAAGTTTTAGGGACATGCTTTTATCAACTCTTAGTTAAGAGATTGTGGCAGTTTTCTGCAGTCTATCAGTTTGAAATTGACTTCCCTTGTTCGTATTTTACACTCATCTCTACCTGGAGAACAAATTCCTTAGTGCATAATCTGTAGCTCACCATGACAATACTGTCACATGAACAATTCAAAACAGTTAACCGAAAGTGTCTAAAAGTAGTTAAGTGTTTCCAGGATTTCTTTTTTCTTCGGCAAGGCATGATTTCTTTTTTCTTCTTCTTTTTTCTCTAGTGTGCCATGATTTCTTTAGCAAAGCATCAATATCTATTCCTATCAGCGGTTATCTAATTGAATTTTCACATGCTTCTATCAGTGGTTATCTAACTGAATTTTCACATGCTTCTATCAGTGGAAAACTTATATTGTTTGCTAACATTTTATAAACAAAACACATGGAAGCAACTCTATATATGATCCATTTTGAGTAATTAATTTGGTACTTTGTTTGCTGTTGAATTCTGCAAGTCCTTCAGTCTAAGCCTATGAGTAACACTGCTTGTTCACTAATTCAGTTTACTGTACAATTTTGTGCAGACTGAATATTGTGTGTGTGTAGCACAAGCTCATCAAATTACAGGCTGGATGATCCGCTGCTACTCTAATTCACCTCAATTTGACATCAATTTGATCTACACAACAAATTAACATCAATTTGACATTGATTTCAGGGCGCTGGCTACCTTTCAGTAGCAGCAGAGGCGGCGAGGAGGAGCTGGGTCGCCTGGACGAAGAAGAAGAAGAAATCAGCGAGGAGGAGCAGGTGGGCGGCGGTGGTCGCCTCTGTAGCAGGTGGGCGGCGGCGCTGGGCCCTACGGTGGATGCACTGGTCACCTCGGTGCACGGCGGTGGAGCAACGGCGGCCGGGGTCTTGCCCAACTCCCGCAGCAGAGTGGCTGGCCATGGCGCGCCGGGGTTGCGTCCGGGGATGCGAGAAGGACGACGAGTAGAGCCGACCGTGAGCCGTGGAATCGCCGCCTGTCGAGGTGTCGCCGCGGAGGAGCAGCTGGGCGGCGGCGAAGCTCGCCTCCGCAGTGCAGCTAAGCAGGGGCGGTGCAAGATGGCAGCTGCGGGACAGGTGTGCGGTGGCGCAAGTGGGACTTCGTCCTGGCTGATCCTACGGCGGCTGGGGCACGCGGTGCCCGTGGGCAACAGGGGGAGGCGGAGGCTGGGGCGCGCGCGGTGCCGGCGGGCGTCGAGGGAGGAAGAAGGACGATTAGCACGAGATTTAAAATGAAAAAGGGGTTTTCTGCAAAATTACAATTGAACTATGCCGGTGACAACTTTTTCCGGACGGAGGGAGTAGTAATTAAGTTACGACACTTATACGCTTTTTAATTTTATATTTATAGTATTTGTTATTTTCTCTATTAACGTTTTTCACAAGCGATTGACATTGTAAATGCACAGGATTTGCCTCTAATGAAACACTAAATGATGATTTTGTTAGTTCGTGCGGAGCCTATCTTTTCTTCCTTCGCTATTTTTAAAAGCAGTTCTGCTTGGGACGCAGAGTTTCTGAGCCCGAGCTCAAATGAACTGTAAAATAAAAAAAATCTGAATTTTTTGTGACAAAATTGAGAAAAGTTTCAAGTGCTTGGCAAAATTCGTCATGGAATCACATTCCTAAAAGGCGTGGCAAAAAAAAAGTCGGTACTCTAAAAATGCTACTATCCCTCGCGCGAGATTACCTAGGTAATTATGATAAATCAGACAAAAGCATTGAGTGTTTAATGACTACACCTTTTGTATCCCCAGAGGTAGGATCCACGCTACCGTACTAAACCTTTTGTCACTTGTGTTCAGAATAGCGTTTCACAGTCTCTCTGCCCCTTAGCCTCTCCATGGCTCGATCTCTATAATCCTTGGTAACCTGCAAGGACAAAGACCGCGAACGAGACAAAAGGCAACTACGAAACAAATTTATTTCACACATACAAGATATCATAATAGTTTGATCAATCACTCCAACAAATAGATCGGGTTGCAAGGTTACACCTCAACCCATGACCTTAGGGAATTACTCACATATAGCGATCAGAACGCAAGAAGAAACCATTGAAGAACACATCATGAAGATTAAGTGATTGATAGTACGGCTTACAATAGTTGCTGGATGCGATACACGATTACAAATTATGACTAACTAGGATGAATGTTGCGGTGATGATGGTGAAGATGACTATGGTGATGAAGATGGAAAATGACAGTGGCTAGGGTTGTTGTGGATGACGAAGATGAAGGTCTCGACAATGTTCTGTTGCGTTTATGACGTTGACCCCTTTATAAAAGTTGGATGGATGGATAAAAGGGCGCCGCTGGCAGTTCACCGTATCGCCCTTCTAGCATAACTTCTATTCATGCGCACGGGTGAGAAGAGCCCTGTAAAGATAGAGCGAGTCTGATAGGTAGCAAGATACCTAACCAGACAGCCTCACTCACTGTCCGTATTTATTCGTTAGAAACACCGTCCATCTTTATTATTTCTGAACCAAACAACAGACATCCAGTTTTATTCGGACTAGTAAACATTTAAGCACACGAGACGATATTACTATGGGTTCAATATAAGGTCGTGGCAATAGCTTGTATTGCTAACTAGATGGAGGCATGCATCCAGGCGGTGCAATCGTCAACACCTTCCATTGTTCGGGAGAGGTGTTTCTGCGGGTATCAGGGCTGAACACTTGGTGAGCACCTGTACAAGCTGCTGCACCGACGACCGGTGTAGGGGTCACCAGGCGGCACTGTAACCGTCGGACGATTAGGATCGAGAGCTCCACCTGGAAGGAAAAAGACAAACATTCATGGATATTCAGTTGCAAGTAACTACTACTCCCTCCGTCTTATAATATAAAAGCGTTTTTTTTTCTTTAACACTACACTCTTATATTATGGGACGAAGGGAGTACTAAATTTCGGAAGGCTGGTATAAAAACCTTGTTTCAAGTAGCTAGGAGACGACGAGAGGATGGAACGAACAGTTTGTAAGCACTAACCACCGATCCCTGGGCGGGCTCCATGGCAGACGGGGCCGCTCATGAGCACGGCGGAGATGACGAACAGGACGATCTGGAGGAGCACCAGGAAGCGCGCAGCTCTGGCGAAGGACCCCATCCGATGGAGCTCGTGTGGGCTGGTTTGCTAGCTCGTGTGAGTTTGCTAGCTCATGAGCTCGTGTGAGTTTCCTGCTGTTTACCGGAGGGTCGTATTTATAGACGGACATGATCCTGATGGAGAGAATAAAAGATCACAGTGGCCACTGGCCCCTCAATTTCCACTAACTTTTTTACAGGCATCAAGTTCGTAGCACATCGTTTCGAGCGAGAGATGGGCGCGTGCACTGTGCACATGAGTGGTAGACTGTGCGTAGGTGCATGTCGCTGCTGAAGATCAAACGCACTCAAGCCATGGCTGGGTTTTCTCCGGTTAGTCAAGGCTGGTGCCTGGTGACACCTTGGCCGTGGAAGAAAAAGTGACCAACCAGCGAACCAACAGGGCGACGACGACGACGACTCCGGGTAAACCAACCGGATCTCCGGCCGGTCGTCTTATGTGCCATACCAAGGAAAATATTCAATGCCCGGCGTCGCCTCAGGTTGTCACACTACAGCCTAGCCCCTTTCTTTAGCGATAAACAGTATAGCATAGTGTGCTAGTTTAATTCACTAGGCTTCTCTCACGATTAATTGGGGTTTATAATTTGAGATTTTGACTGATGCTTTTGATTTGGTCATCCTCTTGATGGATCGCTTTGGTCACTGCATGGAAATTGTTCTTTTTTGTCACTGCATGGTATTTCGGATAGACTAGGCGCCCGGTCTAACCAAACCGATCGTTTTGGCTCTTTAAGTAATAAAGAAATGGACGATGATAACTGCCACACGTGTGGTATCTAGGGGGTTGTGTCGCACGCCCTGTGTGGCACGGAGACAACCCCGCCCGCACGACGTCGTCCGGGCGCACGCAGCCACAGCCCACACGTCTGGTGTGTGGCGCAATCACCCACACGTCCGGGCGATCGACCGCGCTGCCCACATGACCTAACGCGGCCGTCGTCCCGGCCTGCCTTCGAACCCCAGTGCGACTTGCCGTCGTCGTCTCCTACCTCTCGATCCCCTACCTGCATCGTCTTTCTTCTCTAGTTGCCATGGCAACCAGACCAGATCTC